TATACAACAGATTGTTTATTTACATCAAAACACATGTTCCGTGTAGTAGTAATATGGCCAAAATTAAAAACAGTCGTTATTCGGCCATCTTTGATCTGATTATGAAACACACTGATATGTATGATGTATGTGCCAAATACAAATGAAATTGGTACATAAAAGATGCCTGCCAGTCGACCATCTTTGATCCAATTACGAAATAAATCGTCATGGACATGTATCCTAACATGTATAATCTACGTACCAAGTTTGAATGATATCTGACAAAGCATGTCCAAAATACAACATTTTCAAAAAACAAGATGGCTGTCAGTCGGCCATTTTGAATTGAATCACTAAACCACTATATGTGCATATGTCCCACATAAGATAATAGGCACATGCAAAGAATGAACGGAATCGGTCCACAGGATTCTGGAATATGACTCTGTACAGACTGACACACGGACGGACGGACGGACGGATGGTCGGGAATATGTATCCTAACATGTATGATCCATGTACTAAATTTGAATGACAACTGACAAAGCATGTCCAAAATACAACATTTTCAAAAAACAAGATGGCTGCCAGTCGGCCATTTTGAATTGAATCGCTAAACCACTGCATGTGCATATGTCCCACATAAAGTACTAGGAACATGCAAAGAATGAACAGAATCGGGCGAAAGGATTCTGAAATATGAATCTGGGCGAACGCACGGACGGATGGACGGAAACCGAATTTTAAGTCCCCGAAATAAAAACTGACAGGCAAATAAAAGTAGGGGAAAAATGCATGTACATTGAGATCTTGAGATAGCTGACTATATAGTTTTCAGTTTTTCCTCTCTTGTTTTGAAACAATTCTCTATGTATTTTGCTATTTGTTTTATTGTTTTATCATCTTTAATTATTTAAAATATATTTTATTTTTTCTTTATTTTTTGCTAAATGTGGGGGTGATAACAGCTGATAAAGTTTTTTTCTTTCTCTCGCGTAGAGATCACATGTTAAAAGAAATTTGTTCTTCGTTCTCAATGGCGTTATTATGGTTATTCAATCAAAATGTATGTGAATAATGTGATCGAATTGCGCTGCCCAAAGTAAAATTTAACTTGACGTATGCATGGTATGGTTTATATAACATGTTAAACTCATTTCGAATAAAATAATTCACTATTGGAACATCATTGAATCACAAGTATTTAAAATATTTGCTTGACTTTTAATGATTTAAATGCGCCCTTGTTTATACTTGCGTAATTATTACGAATGCAACGCATTATCAAGTCGGTAATAATGAAATATTCACAGACCCAATACCCCGGGTCAGTGCCCTAACAATAGTAAAAAATAACTTGAGTTTTGTAATTATCATGAAAACAATACATTACAATGTTGAAATATTTAAAGGCGGTACAATATTGTAAACAAATTTGCGTAATTAGAAAAGCAGTGCACTAAGTAAACGATGTTGAAATATTCAAAGCCAGTACAGAGTTGCATACAAGTTGCGTAATTACAGTACCTTCGGATATAATAAAAATTTTACTAGATTGACACGCGGAGCACGAATGAAAAATGTTGCTAAGGTAACGCGCCAGTTCAGTGCGCGCAGCAAGTTTCGCAAAGAAGTACTCGAAGTTCAATTGTGTCCCAAAATGATGTCGCTTATCACTCAATTGTGTCATGTCCATGATGCACCCCGTTTCGACTTTGGCTTGCTTTTCCTTCTTCGTGCATGTTCTTGTTCACGTAAAATGCGACCTCTCACCAATGTATTAAAACACTTTGAATTTATACTTTGCATGATTATATGATCAACATTTTCTGAGACCATTTTTATCAACGCATAGTTATTTTTCCAGACAAGATGGGCTTCGAAATATCTGCCATAACATCGCCCGGGCGATCTTTTAGTCCACATTTTTCTAAAAAAAAATTGAATCCTCCATAAGATCGCCCAGGGCAGGGTATCAGCTGAATCCGGTAGTTGGAACATAAACATGTCAGAGATATGGATCCAGAAGATGATGCTTGAGTATGATGATTATTTAACATTAAAATAATTGATATCTTGTATCTGATCGTCAAATGAGTACTTGTCCATATTGAGAAATATTACTCAGGAACAGCATTAATTAAAACAAAATGGCCACCAGTTGGCCATTTTGAATACATCTATAACATGATCAGTCAAAGCATATCAGAGATATGGCTCTAGAAGCCATTTTGATCCTATCTGAAAAATAAAATGACATGCATCAGGAACCTCAAATCTCTAATGTATGTACATTTTTGTACCAACAAAATCCATCCATAAACTCCAAAATCCAGTCTAAAATGCCAGAAATGATTGATTTTTAATGATTTTTAGCACAAAAATGGCTGCCATAAGGCCATTTTGAATCAAATAGACAACCCAATATATCTATGTCATGATGTATAATGAATATATAAAATTTGAACATAATCAGTCAAAGCATGGCAGAGATATGGCACTAGAACTGCATTCATTAAATAAAATAAAATGGCCACCAGTCAGCCATTTTAAATCCGATCTGAAAAATAAAATGACGTGCATCAAGGTTTCATAATGTCCAACGTACGTACCAAGTTTGAACAAAATTTATCCATAAAGGCCAAGATCCAGTTTTAGAATGCCAGAAATGCTTGGTTTTTGATGACTTTTTAGCACAAAAAAGGCTGCCATTTGGCCTGTGTCTGAACAGGGACTAATAAAGCAATAAATGCATGGTATTTGGTCTAAGCACCTCTCAATTTGGGAAGCGAAGTATGTGAGTCAAACAGCTTACATGTACTGTGAACTGTCTGCTGTTGAGTGATGTGAAAGGGCAATTATCTATTACTAGTGTATCAAGAAAATACCATATTTTCTCCATTAGAAGTGCAACACGGGCACATGTGAACCCCAAATAGTTTGGTTTGATGGGATTCAAAAAAATGTTATAAAGCAAATTTTAACACACTTTTAAAACAGTATTGTGATTGCGTGTGCAATTCATCAAGAACCTGTGCCTTCCTTCCACCTACAGAAGAGTCATCACATTCGTATAGGTCTGCTTCTATTTTATTTTATGTTTACAAGATTACCAGGTAAAATTGAAAGATAAATGTCTGGTCAATTACCATTTGAAAGAATTAGACACCAAACAGTAACGGTTGCCAGGCAGCCATTATTTTAATGTTATACCAAACCATTACTTCTGTAGGTACATGTGGAAGGTTTCAACAAAGTGGAAATTAACATACATACAGCTAACCATTCACATTTCCGGGCACAAAATTTAAAATTACAACCATCAAAATGATGTGCATATACGACATAATGCTTTGTCCAAATCAAAGATTCATAAATCACATTTATCAACACACTTCCTAGACAAGGCTTGATATGTATTTTTTTTTTTAAAAACATCCTTTCAAAACACTTGCCTACATAATGTATCTGTGCCTTAGAACATATAGCTGTCTGTATAGTAAGCATATGATTAACTCGATCAATTCATATCAAGGGAAAAGTTGGATCGATGGACAGACAGACAGACAGACAGACAGACAGACAGACAGACAGACAGACAGACAGACAGACAGACAGACAGACAGACAGGCAGGCACCTATAATCACACACAAAACCAAATTCTGAATTTAATCAAAATCCTGTATACTACTTTCAATAGAGTGACATAAAGTGGCAATAGCTCTGATTTGGAAATTTTTTTTTTGCTTTAAATGCAACCACATAAAGATGGCCGAAATATTGTTTTAGACACAAATGCATGGGCAAAGTGACTAATGTTAAGTGAAATGTGATGTGAAAACTAAGAATCTAGTATTCGCCATGTCATTGAAATTGGTCACGTGATGGGAACCGTAAAAAAACTGTGATGCACGACACATACTATTATGGGAAACAAGTCATTGTCAATGACACGTCCCCGTTCCGTTCATATTTGAGTGACATATACATTCAAAGCAGATCATGACCGAAATGCACCTGCATATGTACAACACATTGTACTAAATCTGAACAAAATCTATCCATGCATGACTGAGATCCGGTTCCGGAATTGTGAAAATACGTGATTTTGATGCATTTTCGGCCTTAAAATGGCCATCATTCAGCTATTGTTAAGCGGATCATGAAACAAATGCACATATCTATTTGTGACATGATGTACCATGTGTGTGTGAAGTTTGAACTTGATCAATCCAGACATGTCTTGGATACGGATCCAGAACTGAATTCTTTAAAACAAAATGGCCGCCAGTCGGCCATTTTAAACCCGATCCAAAAAAAAAATGACGTGCATCAAGGTCCTATTATGTTTAATGTATGTACCAAATTTGAACAAAATCTGTCCATGCATAACTGAGATCCGGGTCCGGAATGGTGAAAATGTGCGATTTTGATGCATTTTCGGCCTTAAAATGGCCGCTATTCAGCTATCGTTAATCGGATCATGAAAAAAATGCATGTGCATATGTCCCATATAATGTGTGATGTATGAGTGAAGTTTGAACTTAATCGGTCCATGCATGTTCGAGATACAGGTGATCACGGACGCACGCACAGACGCACACAGGGCAAAACATAAGTCCCCGTTTTCGGACTACGTCCGAACGGGGACTAATAACGCATAAAATCATCAGTGAGAGGCTTTCAGAGAGAGGCATAACGCCTCAAGATGGAAACGCATTTGACAATAAAGTTATCATCTTGTACTGTAATTCCTGAGGTTCCCTTGACAAAACTGGATTTTGATAGACCCTCTAAAAGCCTGTACACAACCACACGGTCAATCTTTTTTACTTGCAAGTGATTTAATGTACAAAGTCTGTATATGCTTTCAGTGCCAACAGTTTGGTAAAGGGTGATTGGTGTATATGATGACACATGAAATATTTTATTGAAAATAAAATTCAAACAAAAAATTTACAGCTATTGTCACTTAAATCTGATACAAAAATAAGGGGAAGATCAAAATAAAACTTACCTGTGACATGCTAACTAGTCCACTAGCCAACGTTTTAAATCCTAGTATTGTTCGGTTCTTATATTTCTTTCTTCTCTGCAACATTATTTGTAATTTATTTCCTTCCCTCTTCAAAAAATGGGGATACTATCAAAAGAATGCAAAATGTAAACAGTTACCATGACTATTTATAGAACAGTTCCAGTTGATAAACAGAGAGATTGGAATGAGTTCAGAATGAAAGATTTGTAAATATCATACAAGCGTCCTGAGAGATGCTGTAGGTTTTTACACACAAACACAAATACTGTGGAATAATTTTTGTTTACGAAATGTACCGGTAGTTGGAAATGTTGTGTTTAATAATTATTTTCAATAATATATATATACATGTATAATTATAAGGGAGAATGTACATCTTGTGAATTACATTATATGTTAAATTAGAGAAAATATTATAGATGAGCTACAGTGCAGGAAAAAACAAATCAATAACAGTAGGAATCAAAAGAAAAATAATTACGATAAAGTATCGTGTTCAATTTTTGACTCTTGGCAAAATACAAACTAATTATGCTCTGTGAAACTCTAGTTGCTGCACGGCTGTATTCACGATGAATACAGATTTATAACTTAGGAATCATGCATTATTGATTTAAGTTTTTGCACAGCCTCCTTGAAATTGATTTGTCATGGATCAACGATGATCAGTATAAAAGGATTTTGGAAAGTCGCAAAACTTGAAATATTCATTTTTACTCATGCATAGTACATGCATAGAACAACTTATACCCTATTAAAATATTCATTCCTACTATAGAATTATACACTGTATTAAAATATTCATTCCTACTATACAGTAGAACAATATATACTGTATTAAAATATTCATTCCTACTATAGAACAACTTATACCTTATTAAAATATTCATTCCTACTATAGAACAATATATACTGTATTAAAATATTCATTCCTACTATAGAACAACTTATACCCTATTAAAATATTCATGCCTACTATAGAAAGATATACTGTATTAAAATATTCATTCCTACTATAGAACAATATATACTGTATTAAAATATTCATTT